TTCTGCCTTTTGTTTGAGATTATTTGTTTAGCAGCCTCCCTTTTTATTTTACTGTGAAAATTAATTATGCAGGGCAAGCAGAGCCTTGGAGGGGGACCTTTCACTTTTTAATAAAAGTAATTAAATCAAACAAGTGGCTTGACTCAGCAGTACCCACAAGCTGGTTAACTCTCCTAGTCTGGGACAAGTAGCCAAAGCTGAAGAACTACCGGAGATGACCTCTGTTACAATTAGGGATGTAAAATTCTGTTTTAACTAGTTAACCAGTATATTTAACCAGTTAACCAAGTAAACAGGGCAGGCCTGGAGCTGTTGGCACCCCCTCCTCCCCATTGCGAACAGGAATGCTCAGGCTGGGCTGGAGTGCCCCACCCCCATTGCAGGCCCTGTGTGTGTGGAGCAACCCCCTGGGTGGGGTGAGCAGAGTGACTGCTCCAGCCCTCACTGGTGACCTGTAACCACTAAGCCTCACCAGTTAAGGGTTCCTAGTTAACCAGCTAAACATTCCCATCCCTAAATACAATTGGTCTATTGGAAAGAGGCCAAGGAATGGAGCATAATGCCGTCTCTGCTCTTGCGTGCTCAGTTGCCTCCAGTAGCTGCTGCTGGGGCTGAGTGTTGCTGACAAGTTTGGTGAATACAGGAACTTTACTTCAGTCTCCCTAGTCTGGTGCTTTTCAGAAGTCCCAGTGCCTTCCCTGCTCCATGCCACGATGAAATAATGGAAATGTTCAAGGAAGGGACAAAGCCACGAGTGGCTCTGGATACACGCTACCTGGAGAGCCGCATCCTGTCAGCCACAAAAGAACCAGTGTGGTGAAGCATTGCGGCAGATTTTGTCAGCACAGCTTAAACAGATAAAGAACTGGGTTGGGCCTTGAATGCAGGGGCTGATTTAGTGATTAAGGAGAGTAAGCAGTTAACCAGGAAGAAGGAAGTGATGTGCTGCAGGCAGCTAATGAAACGCTGATACAAGGCACCTGAGTGTTGATGGGGGCATCTTATGAAATCAAGGAGAGCACACCTGCAAGTCAGCGGCTGCCTTCTGGAGACCTTAGCTAGTGTGGGAGGCCACTTTAAAAATGGGCTGTCTGAAGATAACACCAAATCATTTGGTATCCATAGGTCTGAAGAGTAAAACCCGCTCATGACGCAATATAGTATAAAAACCCCATTTGAAATATGAGCCCTGGGACTTATTTTTGATGGTAAAGAAATTGAGCTGGTGCCTTCCCCAAACTGCTCTCCAAAGCACAGGCCCTAGCCAGCCATAGCAACACAAGGATCAGCATAAGCCCCCTTTGTGGATTTGGCTGGGCCTAGAATTCTGACTCTGCCTCCCCTCCATGGCTCATTCCAGCCCTTCTGCCTGAGAGTCTCCTGCTTTTTAGGTCAGATTAGATTATCACACTAGCCC